CCAAACACGATGTGAACGGCAACCAGACTGTTCCACCTTTTCCAGAAGGGACAGAGATGGCCACGTTTGGTGAGTGTCAAAAAGATACCATGGAGGAGGCTGTGGCTCAGTGGTTAGTATGATGGTAGGGGTGTAACGGTACACGTACCCGTACCGAAATTATTCGGTACGGGCCCTTCGGTTCGGTACAGGTGTGTACCGAAGTGTACCGAACGAATATAACGTTAAACGTAAAAAATTGAGAACGTGAATAACTTTTTGGAAGTAATCTCAGGTGCTGCGTCGCAGCATTCAGAGTAATTTGCTCACATTGGGTTCAACGCGTCATAGAGCGAGCAAGTCATTTCATTGGATGAGAGGCATACTATGAGAGCTGGTCAGAGGGATGCGTTCAAATGTAGTCAGTAATTTGAGGAACTGTCAAAAATGTATGGCGAACGCAGATAAAGTTGAGCTCGAAAATCCTCCAGCATCATTGAAGTCTCCGGTTTGGGAACATTTTGGTTTCGCAGTTACGTACAAGGATGACGGACAAAGACAGGTGGACCGAACCAAAGCTGTTTGTCGGCATTGTTCAACTAAAATTGGTTACGCGGCTGGCAAACTTGCACACTCTTTTGAAAAGGCATCACCCGAACGTGAATATCACCGGTACCAAAAGAAAAAAGACTGAAGTGCAAACCCAACTCCCACTAGCATTTAAGCCTCCACCACTCGCAAAGAGTTCAGACCGAGCCAAAGCTATTACAAACGCCAACTATCCTTATGTTGCCATGTTAGCAAAGCGCTACCTGGCTGTATCTGCTACCTCTGTCCCTAGCGAGAGGGTGTTCTCCACAGCAGGAGACATTGTTAGTGCCAGCAGATCTGCCCTTTCGGCAAGCAATGTGGACAAGTTCATTTTTCTTTAAAAAAACATGAAAATACAATGACAAGCAAGTCCTAATGTCAAACTGGCTGCTTAGGTGCTAGTACAGTACAGTTCAAATACAGATTATTTCAGTTCATCGAAATGCTGCACCTTAATGTTCATTTTATTATATTTTGTATTTATTTGAGTGAATACATTATTCACAGTTTAATAATAATAATAAAAATATATATATATATATGTTTTGTTTTGTGAAAAAAAATTCTGCTGTACCGAAAACGTACCGAACCGTGACAAAAAAACCGAGGTACGTACCGAACCGAAATGTTTGTGAACTGTTACACCCCTATATGATGGACTTCGAATCAGGGGGTAGCAGGTTCGAGTCCCACTGCAGTCAGCATGTCGTTGTGTCCCTGAGACACTTCACCCCAAATGGCTCCTGTGGGGATTGTCCACAGTACTTAATGTATGTAAGTTGCTTTGGATAAAAGCGTCTAACAAGTGACATGTAATGTAAAATGTAGTTTACTGTTGATTTTCTCAAGTGGTAACCATTTTATATCAGCTAGTTTTATGCTAGTTAAGCTTATTTACATATATGAAGTCGTGTTTTAAATTAAACATATTAACTTGATCCAAGACTGAATATTTGTTGTCTACTACTGGCCTTTAAAGTTAAATACTTGACCATATCTTCACCTCTTCTCAGAGTCCACAGTAATGGTTCCCCTTTTACATTTTAAAAGCAAGATTTCAACATCATCATAATTGACACATACGAAGAGGTAATCTTCAAAATGTCAAGATGGAAACAAAGACACTTTGCAATGTTGTACTCAAACAATGACTCAATATCTGTAATAAATGCTCATTCATCGATTTACAGTATAGTACCAGTTGCATAGTCGTGGTAAGATCTCACACACAGGACTTTCTCTGCCTGGTTGTCTGTTAAAATTGAAAGGATGTTGAATTCTGTTATTTCTCAAAGTATTGTTTTCTTTTCATAAAGGGATGGGCTGTTTCTGGGGAGTGGAGAGGAAGTTCTGGAAACAGAAGGGGGTTTATTCCACCCAGGTGGGCTACGCAGGAGGGTACACAGCTAACCCCTCCTACAACGAGGTCTGCACAGGTAACTGCTGCACACACACACACACACACACACACACACACACACACACACACACACATATAGTGTACCGGGCAGTGTGTGTTGAGAGTCAAAAGGCTGTGGAAAACAAGACACACTTACACAGAATCATCTCCCTCAGGTCCTATTATAGCAGGGCATGGATAAGGCTACTACTGAAGCCTGCCCACTCTGGGCTGAGTGTGTGTGTGTGTGTGTGTGTGTGTGTGTGTGTGTGTGAGTGTGTGGCCTGGCATTACTATCCTTGTGGGGACCTACATCTGTTTACATAGTCACGTGTGGGGACTCGCCTCCCTTATGGGGACTAAATGGAGGTCCCCATGAGGGGAATCATTAATTTTAGGGTGAAGACTTGGTTAGGGTTAGGCATGTGTTGGTTATGGTTAAGGTTAGGATAAGTCTCCAGGAAATGCATGTAAGTCAATGTAATGTCCCCTGAAGTGATGTATACATGGTGTGTGTGTGTGTGTGTGTGTGTGTGTGTGTGTGTGTGTGTGTGTGTGTGATGCATGTCCAGGCCTCCCAGTGATTCCTCCAGCCAGCCAGTTCAGAGTGAATCCTTCATTAGACCTGAATTGCCACCTGTCTCTTTATTTCTTCCATACTTAGTTTCCTCCTGTTCATGTATTCCATATAAACTCAGTCAGAAGTAAACCATGTTTTTACTGCCTAAAATAAAAGGTTTTAGTTTAATTGTTCGCTATATTGTCCTTCCCTGCAGAGAACTGAAGCCGTTATCTAAGTTCTTTTCATAGTTTTCAAATCTATATCGAACAACATGATTATTACAGAAAATACAGACCAACTTGACCAATCAGAATCGAGTATTCAAAGATGCCCTGTAATAATGTAGGTTACACACTCAACCATCGTATTTCTATATTCCTATAACTCTCTATCTGTATATAATGTTTAGACATTGTTGTACACTAGCCTGCTGATTAAGAGAAGGCCTTTATAAAGGATTATAAAAACAACTACTGGATTTTGAACCTGTGTTTTGTTATCAGCACAGTATCTTGGCAGAGTTTAGGAGATGCACTTGGCTAAATTAAAAGCTCCTCACACTTCAGGAGAGACAGAAAATATTCATTGTTGATTCAATATTTATCACTGTAGGTTTGGAATGTGCTAATTAAATGTGCGTGTTTTTCCTTTTTGCATAAAAGTAATCGACCTGTGTTCATTA